CTGCTGAGAGGCAATAACTTAAGGGTCTTTATATCGCCATCCACACAGGAGGAACCTAACAGCAACCAGAACCCATCACTTGGGTGCATGTAGCCTCTACCAGGCTTCGGGAGGCGGCTGGAAAGAGTTGAAATTCAAATAGAGAGATAACATGCTGCTAGAGAGTACATTTCAGGTGCGGCAAAATGTACTTTCTAGCAGACGAACTCCACCCCGGCATGTTATCTCTCTATTTCAGTATTTGGCTGATTTCTACTCTTTTTCAGTCGCCTCCCAAAGCCTGGTAGAGGCTAGCCTGCATGCCCTTTTTCGCAAGGGGTAATCAGGCCTTTTAAGTCTTCGTAATCGGTAGGCAATCACCCAAAATCAACAGTAATTCATAATCATTATATTAGCCGTAAAGTATGCCTTACACCAGTGTGAAATCTCAGAGATGTCAGAACTTGAAGGATAGTCCAAAGGACATCTGATGGATTGCCAAGGTACATAATAAGGGTATTTACATCCTAGAGGGACCTCCTTTAAAGCTGCCAGAAGTCATGAACTCAAATCAGGGTCTTGGCACTGTGAAATCTCTTTAAGTTTAAGACACCAGAACTAAGGTGTTCCATTCCTTCACGAAAATTTACAAGGAGACAGTAGAGATATTTTAAAGATCTGCAAGATACGGTTTCAACCCTCTTGGACCTATGAAATCTCTTAAAGACACCAGAACTAAGGTGTTCCATTCCTTCAAGAAAATTTGCAAGAAGACAGTCGAGATATCTTTAAGATCTGCAAGATAAGATTTCAACCCAAGTATGATGATGAGTATCCAGATGATAGGTGAAGACATAAACAAGTAACTTAAAGCCACTGATTTCTTATTTCAAAACAAAGGTTTCTTTGAAGGAGGATCCTAATTAAGTACCAGAGACACCTGATCCCTACAGTACAGGTGACAGGTTGCTTACAGAGAGGACAGGGATGTTATGGTGCAGGAACAGGCACAAGTGAGACATTGTGGGGAGGCTGCACTTCCCATGACCCACAGGAGACTGTTGGCACAACAAATTCTCGCTGCCAGTTTTTCTTGTGGAAGGAGAACTTATCGATTTTCAGCAGGCAAACTTGCTTTAGTAGTCAAAAGGGGTTCATAAATGGTTTAACTAGGCAATACATAAAAGTGGGATTTTTGTCCTCGTCTATCACCACAGGCTCCACAGCATGGTTGCATGAGTTGCAGTACTGAAGTGTGTTAGCAGGTAACATGGGTGTAATGTTACCTGTGCTACATACCAGATGGTCCAGCTGGAATAGTTAGTATATAGCAGAAAGACACGTCAGCCTACTCCGTCCAGACAAACTGACACACAAACCCACTGCTCAGCCACCAAAAAGATGTAACTCCAGACTAAAATGTTGCCAACACAGATGAATTTTCATGCTATAATATAAATGTCTGTGGTCAAGTTCTGTAAATCATGTTATATTTGCGGTAGCAGGATTTTGCGGTCTGAGAAAAATGGACAGTCATGTTCGCAGTGGTGGGAGGTGCAGAAGAAAGAAAGTCAGCGAATTATTAAATATAAATTTTGTTTGTGGTAATGATAAATTCGTAGTACAGCAGTGATGAAGAAATACAGTAAAGCGTGAATATAAAAGTACTGCGAATATAAAGTGATTTACAGTTACAGTATTTGGTTCCTCCCATCTGGATAAGCCATTGCCTGATGGTATGGTGCAGAGATGTGCTAATCTCCCAGTCATGTAACCTGCAGTTTGCCTGAGAGGCAAAATTTCTCCGTCTGAGAAAAATGGATATGTTCGTGGTGGCGGCAGGTGCAGATTACAGTTTACAGTTTACAGTTTTACAGTTACAGTACTAGTCTTGGTTCCATCTGGATAAGCCATTGCCAGACCAACCATGTAGCCTGCAGTTTGCCTGAGTGGCTGGGAGCCTCCTGCAGACTTTCCCACCAAGATGTTACTCGACCCGACCTAGTAACTTTTCCCAAGGTTGATCATCTGGTTCTTTGACAACAAGAACTTGAAGAAGACCTCAGTCAGCTACGAAGTTTAAGCCTTAGGCCACACCAATTTAATTTGTTGGTTCTCAGTAGACATTCCCACGGAGATGTTACTCGACCCAACCTAGTAACTTTTCCCAAGGTTGATCGTCTGGTTCTTTGACAACAAGAAATCAGAGACAGTTACAAAGTTTAAGCCTTAGGCCACACCAATTTAATTTGTTGGTTCTCATGCATACATTCCCACCAAGATGTCACTCGACCCAACCTAGTAACTTTTCCCAAGGTTGATCGTCTGGTTCTTTGACAACAAGAAATCAGAGACAGTTACAAAGTTTAAGCCTTAGGCCACACCAATTTAATTTGTTGGTTCTCAGCAGACAATTCTCAACGAGATGTTACTCGACCCGACCCAGTAACTTTTCCCAAGGTCAGGACCAAGTTGATTGCTTGGTTCTTGGACAACGACTTCAAGAAATTGTGGGGTCGTGTGGTGTAACATTAGTGTGTTCAGGTGTGAGTGGTTCAAACCTTACAGTCTGGTCTCAGGTTTGACATCTTGAAGAGGTGATAGTCACCTGTTACACAAAAAGTGTATGTCAATTCTTCCACAAATGTGGTAAAACTCAATGAAATAAAAATAAAAATGAAATAAATCAAAAGATTTCAGATGAAACCTTGAATTTCTGCCTCACTGCCAGAGTCTGTGACCTTTTGACCTGTCATTCTGCCTGTCAATCTTCCCTCCACCCACTGCTGTCAGCCTCCTCTGTCTGGACACAAACAAACAAACAAACAAACAAACAAACAAACAAACAAACAAACAAGCCCACAGCTCGGGCCCCTCAAAACAATACTTCCGCATCCGTAAGCACTTATAAAGGCAACTCAGGGAATGTAGAAATTTTAGGATAAGGAGGTTGCCAGGTTGTTTATAATAACTATAAATATGCTGACAACCGTTCCATTCATATTTCTATCAAACATATTACTACATGCCCCTGTGGTTGAGAAAAGCAAAGACTCCCACGAAGTATCGAAGTCCTCTGCCTGCCCCAAAGTCAGAAACTTCAAACAACCACCCACACTTTTTCCACTATCAGATGTCAATGTCAAGTTTGGGTCCATTGCTATTACAGTAGTGATGAAGATATGGCTACACCTGAATAAGCATACTTTACACACAGGGTGAAGTTCAACATTAAAGTCAAGTTTATGTGCTGTCTTTCTTTAAGTGTAAAGTACTTTTTTTAAGCACACAAACTTGACAAAGTTCTAAGTAGAACTTGATTTCTACAACCAACCTCCTTGCTACAACATAACCAAGTGTGCAGTGCTAAAAAGCTATGAATTACTTAGATTTATGAATTTCTTGTTTAGTAGCTATTGAATATGCTGTCAATTTAGTACATAAATGATGGATTACTTGGTACAAAATAGTCCAGATACCAGTACATTAGGCTACAAACTCTCTGATCCATGTAAAAACAAAGGGTTTCTCCAAATTAGCTGTTGGTATTTTGTGATAAGGAAATCTGAGAAGGACTTCCTGGGGTTTTTCTGAGATTCCTGGAGATTTTTGGGAAGCGTTGGGAATACAGGATTTCATGGAATAAGCTTTGGGAATTCAGGATGTCAGTCTGCAACTGTGCTCTCCACATGGTCTATGAGGGCCTGCATGGGGGGGTAGTGATTACATATTATGCAAAATTTTTGCTGCCGATTACGAATTACGTTAAAGTCTCAGAGCTGATTACGGCTTTACACTTTGCGGCTAATGTACTTTCATTACGGATTATGCTGATATTTTGGGAGGCTGCCCACGGATTACGAAGAATAAAAAGGCCTGATTAGGCCTTACGAAAAAGGACATGCAGGCCCTCTTCTATGGTAGACCAGAGGGCAGAAGGCCAGACAGGTTGAGGTTTACCTACAAATGTCGCAAACTTCCGGCACTTTTGCCTCAGTAGCCAATCAGAAGGGAGCAGGTTGAGGTTTGAATCCAGGGTTTGACTGTGAGGGTTAGTGTGTGGGAGTAGGTTTGGAGTTGTCGGTCGCTCTTGAGGCGATGTGGAAGTTCTACTGGGACAGATACTTGGCGAGACAGAAAGGCAAGTGTTTAGAACTGTTAGTATTGAGTTTAGGGGCTTTTGGGTCTTGACTGTTATAGATAGAACATGGTTACTAGTACTGATACTTACGTCAGAAGATAGCACACAGCTGTTCAGATTGGATTGTGTTTTGGTTCGGTGTTGTTGGTTGGTCTTTAGGCAATGTGGAAGTTCTACTGGGATAGATACCTGGCAAAACAGAAAGGCAAGTGTTTATATGGAGCTGTTAGTATAAAGTTTGAGTTTAGGGGCTTTTTGCATATTGTTATGTACAAATAACAAGAGCCTAAGATGGATAGATAGTAGTTGTGGAGATATTGCAGCTGTTCAGTTTGTGTTTTGGTTTGGGCTCAGATTTTTCAGACTGATCCAACTTCCAAGTCATGAAGTCATGTTGACATGATGCTGGTAGTCTTGACTACAACAGACAGACATCACTTGATTTGTTACTGTTTGTAGCAATTACTGCATTTTCTTTTTTAAGAACGCACAATTTCATACCTTTCCAGTTTGTTCTTCATTACCTGAGTGTGATTTTACTAAACCTATTGATGCTTGAGTCAAGACAATGAAGGTGGTAGAGTATAGCTGGAAGGGGATAGTTCAACCCCACATGGAGATGCCCTTTGACATCTTTTAACTGTGGGAAGCAAAGGAGGAACCTGAGAAGTTTCTAACAAGCGACCTAATGTCTCCCACCAGCCAAGAGTTCATGTCTGGGTCTTGAACCTGTGTAACAGTGTGGTTCTCGTTGTTAGGGTGCCCCGGTTTGGCGCAAGTTTGATTCCCAGTGTCCCGGAAGTCAGGGGATTTTTTTTTTGATTCTACTTGCTCCTATTGGTTTCACTTGTGTGCTAATATCGTTGTCTTGTTTTCACAGGTTTTCCGCATCAAGCCGTGATCAGCGAGGCAGCGGCTTCAACATCAGAACAAGAAGCAAAGTCCACCAGGGGTTCTTCCCGTGAACAACGGAGGCACCATGGCGGCAAGAAGCGGAACGCAGGGACAGAACAGCGTTCTCGGTCGGAACCCTTCCCAAAGGAAAGCAATCTGACGTCCGACATGTTGCGCGAGTCTTCCGGGAGTAACGACGACATTTTCGTCGGGTCCTCCTCTGCGTCAGGCGGCGCCGCGGCGGACTTCCGAGCGATGAAGCAGCGCATGCAGCAGAAACGGGAGGAGATGTTCACCCACTTCCAGCGCTTCAAGCAGGAGATGTCCGAGGGTTCCACGCTGCTCGAGGACGAAATACTCGGGTATGACGAAGACGATTACATTCTGAGACAGCGGGGCAGCCGGCCGCGCGCGTTGAGTGAAGGTGTAGGATTGTACTCTCCTCCAGGTGTATACTCCCCTACAGGTTTATACTCCCCAACAGGATTGTACTCCCCTACAAGAAGGAGGAGTGTGGATAGCAGCAACAGTGACAGCGATATTGAGGATTTCACGAGGAGGATGTTGGTACCTCATGGTACGAGAACAAGCGAAAGCGAGGATGTTATTAAAGATGAAGGGACAAGGTTTTCATTCTCTCAGGATGTCCATCATCACAGGAACTTGGAAGGTACCACTGCTGATCGGTTTGTTACGGGAGGGACAGGGAGGCTGCCACCCCCGCCAAACGGAATGGAGCTGCCCCCGCCCCCACCCTCCCCACAGTGGGGTCAGGGGTCAAGGTTGGACAGGCCTGTGCAGACCTTGGAAGTGAACTTTGACCTCTTACACTCTGGTGCTGTGTATCTGCCAGGTGAGTGAGATCAGAGGGATGACAAATGTTGCACTCAGTCGTACGCGTTTTGAATATCTCTCTATAAAAGTAGAAGCAATAGAGGATGTCCATGTAAAATAATATTGTTTACTGAATATTATAAAACAAATCAAGCAACTGAATAATTTCTCTGACTAGTCTAATATCGGAATTGATTTCTAAATTTTATTTTTCTATACGTACATGTACATGTATATCTATGGAAATTTAAGAATTCCTACTCTCGATTGCTTCGGAGATAACTTCATCAGGTTGGTAGAACATAGGATATTGGGATTCAGAGCTTCTAACAGGAGTTAAGTGCCACCTACATCGGCTACATATGGCAGCGAGAAGCAGAACTTCAGTCAGAAGCTCTGAGAAGGGTGTCTGATAGAAATGGAACGTTAGCAAGGTAGGAAGAATACCCGGGCTGGCTGTGTATAACTGTAAGAAAATCCCAATATACTGAATGCTACTACATTCAGGTTGTTGTTATACAATCCCCATGAAGAACCACACTGATCGATGCTCCTCTCTATCCCCCAGGTTGCATGTCGAAGTGTGGGCGCACAGTTCTGGTGGTGCAGGCGGCAAACGCAGTCCTGGAACACACGGAGTACAGCGCCGCGGAACTCGCACGGCTGCTTATGTACTTCCACGGAATTCCCAGGTAAGTTATTATTTTTTGTGTGTGTTTTTTTTAACCAGGGTAGCACTACTTGGCTTAGTACTGCTTTACACTAAATTACAGAGTGGCCCTGGGTACATAGATACAGATAAGACGTAATAAAACATCACTATCCCAATTGTCAGGTAAGTTACTGGAAATGTCTTCAACCCAGGATTGAGGTAGCCTGGATGCCAGACCCACGTCACACTAGGCTCAGAGTTGCACACTGGATAAGTTTGAGTCTGGGTCTGGCATCCAGGCTAGGATTGAGGTGTTTTCAGACTTTTTTTCCCCTAAGGAAAAACTATCACAGAGTGAAATTCGCTGCTACCAAGTACAGTAGGGGCATCCTCGCAACGTGCACAGCTTGGTGTGCAAAGGTTACGTATGACAGGTCGACTTACTGATACCATAAAGTGAAAGATACGTTTTAGCAGTGGCCTGTTCAGAGATTTAAATGTCAGTGGAGACACAGTCAGATACAGTTTTACTGGCACTATAACTTTTTGTATAAAATTAGAAATACACCCTAAAGGACAGTTTTACAGATACTTTGGAAGACATGGATCCAAGTTTATAGTCAAGGCCAGATTCCAGAGATTTAGATGTCAGTAGAGACACAGTCAGGTACTGGAGACATTTTTACTGGTACTATAAAGTTAGAAATATACTCTAGAGGACAGTTTCACAGACTCCACTGAATGAGACATGGATTTAGGAAGACAGTTTATAGTCAAGGCCGGATGTTACAGATTTAGTTGTCAGAAGAGACACAGTCAGATACTGGAAATAGTTTTACCGATACCATGAACTTAAAAATACACCCCAGATGATAGTTTTACAGATACTACTGAATGAGACATGGATCTAGACAGACAGTTTACCATCGATGTCAGAAATTTAGTTGTCAGAGACAGTTCTGTCGATACTATAAAGTTAAAAATACATCTATATACTAGAGGACAGTTTTACAGATACTACTGAATGAGACATGGATCCGAGAAGGCAGTTTACAGTCCAGGCCGGATGTTACAGATTTAGTTGTCAGAAGAGACACTGTCAGATACTGGTCAGGAGATTTACTGATATCACAAAATTAGTTTACATTCTAGCTGACCGTACTACAGATTCTTAACATTCAAGCTGGTGTGTTATGCCGAAGGGTGGTTATACAGGCTATGCAGATACAAAAGCTGTATACCGGCTATATACAGATACAGATAGAAGAGATACTGGTACTATAAATGCCGGTACTGGAGATAGTTCTGTCGATACAATTAAATTATACAAGATAAAATATACTTTCGTGGACAGTTTAACACATCAGACATGGATGTTCATGTAAGAAGATAGTTTATAGTTGAGACCGCCTGTCAGAAATTTAACTGTCAGCAGAAACAGGACCTCAGGCCCCTTGCAGGCTGGAGTCACCTGTTATGAGCCAGGAGGAAGTCTGGACAGAAACGTTCTAATTACAGGTTTATTGGAGGGGACAGGTACTTTACAATACAAGGTTATGGGCCTGGAAGGTGTTAGTGGTTCCTCTCTCCACTGCTGCTGGCAAAGATGGAGATTGTAGAGCACTTTCTTTTCTTTTCTTTTCTCTTTTCTTTCTCTTACACAATGGTGGTGCAGTTTAGTGTGGAATCCATCTCTACGAGCAATTTTCCACTTCAGATATATAGAAAAAATGAATTATACAATGTGCCAACATTTACCAAACAAACTCACTGCAACTGAAATTATTGGCAGCGGAAACGTTTGGTCTCAATTCTGCACATCTGACCAGAAGATCTCATTATTTCTGACCTCACAGCTTGAAGTAAAATTTAGGAGTCTGGTGCCCAGTAGGATATGACATTATCAGCCAGGGCAGATATTACCTCCACACAGGGCAGACATTACCAATTATTGTATCCAGAACCCTGTCTGCATCTAGTTCTATGTCTGGATGGATTATGGTTAGGATCAGGCACTGTTCTGGGCAGTCTCTGCGTATCCATGCACACAGGTTTCTTTTCATACCTGTGTTGCACTTACAAACTTTTATTTACATGTAGCATCTTTAAAACTTTTAGGCTTAAAGCAGAACTAATAATAATATTCTGTTATACAACTAGCTAAGCTAATGAAGATATTACTAACTGCATCTACAAGCTGTAAATTTTGCTTTTCCCATGCAGGTATGACACGAGACAGAAGGGTCTGATAGTTGTGATGGACTGCAGGGAGGCGGTGCCACACACACTGGACATGGTGGGAGGGGCCATCTGTGTGTTACAGGTATGTTTCCTTTTGGACTTTCAAACAAAAATTGTCTTGACTGATTTGAATATCAGTCAATAGTTCGTGCTTATAAACCTGCTTTTCTAACAACTCTCCAGTGTCCCTGAAGAAAGGTAGTGGATGCTATCCGAAACGTCTGACTGTTTCCAAAATTATATCCAGTTGCATGAGTAACTGTTTTTTGGCATATCTTATTACTGTACCTGGATGTCTAACCTTTATCGACATGCGAAAGTCACTGTGCTTTTATTGAGTCAATAAAGAATCTGATTCAAATAAACCCAAGAAAGTTTAAGTATCCAGTAATTGTTGTTTTACATGTTTGTTTATCTGTTTATTTGTTTGTATTCCAGGAGAACATCCCCTGTGCAGTGTACCAGGTGTTGGTGCTGCTACCAGAAAACTCTCCGCTTGTGGACACCTGTTACACATCCTTCTCCTCAGGAGAGGTGATAGTGGAGGTGAGAACTGCGTCCTGATGTGCTGCTTTGTCCTGTCTTGTTAGCCTGGGTACCATTGTGTTTGTAAGCCGGGGCTCCCATACTTGCTGCCTTAGAAATATTTCTTAGGGAGCGAGTATGGGAGCCCCAGCAAGAGACCTACAAGAGACCTATATGATCCTGATGCCCATACTTCAGGTTTCATCACATTTTCTTGGCAGAAAGTCTCAAAATCAAAAGTCTTAAGTCTCAAGATTTAACAAGATGTAACCTTTAAATCTTGTTTTTGAGACTTGTTGAGATTTTTTTTCAAGTTTCATACAGTTGACCAGTGCCTGTGGTTGTAATCGCGTCCTTTCCTTTGTCTGTGGTGGGTCCATTTCTGTTTGGCCAGTGGCTCAGGGATGGGGTGTCAGTTTGCAGCTGGTAATCCATTATTGCTGACCTTGACTCTCACGACCTTGACTCTGTTGACCTTGACTCAGCTGACCTTGACTCTACCAAAGCCGGTATTAGAACTTGGGAAGGGGCTTTTGAAATGGAAGGATTAGAGTACAGCATGCTTGACATGGCTGCTAGTTCTTTTCTTTCGCTCTGTCTTCTTTTCCTACCCCCTAAAATACTGGATATCCTCAATGACTGAACTGAAAAAATCATTCCTGGGAGTTCGTTTTTGCCAAAGAAACTGTCAAGACTTCTTTGATTCAACAATTTTGAAATATTACTCCCTACTTATTTGCTACGGTCTGTCCCTGATGTAACTGAAGCTTTCCAGGTTAAATTGTGCAGAGAAGAAAAGAAACAGCAGACAGGAAACAACAGGCCAGCTGACACTGACATAGAACTTATTACAAGGTCCTTGAACCCTGGTGACTAGTAGTGCAGGCTGGGCAAACCAGCTGGGACCAGAAAGGAATGCACAGGGAGGGTATGTGAGAAGGAGGTCAAAGAAATGTTTGTTCAATGAAGTTGACAGATAAAAAGCAGAAGAGTTTACTTCAAGTTCAACCTTCCTCCCAGAAAATAAATGGAGATTAATTTTGCAAAACCAGCTGGGACCAGAAAGGAATGCACAGGGAGGGTATGTGAGAAGGTGTGCATGGGAGGTCAGAGAAATGTTTGTTCAACGAAGTTGACAGATAAAAAGCAGAAGAGTAAAGTTTACTTCAAGTCCAACTTTCCTCCAAGAAAATGAACATTCATTTTGCTGCATCTTGAAAACTTAATTGAACATGAACAGAACCAGTGGAAGAGGAGACCTTTATTCCGTTGGATTGTCACACCATGCTCTAGCTTACAGGAAAAGTTTCACAATGATCTTTATAAGTTTGCCAAAGGAAAGCTAGCATGTTGTGCAGATCACCCAACAGTCAGAAACTGACACGTTTTAGCCCAATGTCACTGCCCCAGGTGCTATACAGACAAGCTGTTGGCAGTTCATCAGGAACAAAGAAGCACCATTGTTCAATCAACCACAGGTTTCTGCAGCTTGCCTCCATCTAGCTCTGTATGCTGTGGAGTGATCACAGTCATACTGGCAGTTTTTCGTACCTGTACAGGCATTTAGACACGTAGACACACCTTCATGACTATAGCCCCTGCCATATGTCCACACTAAGAAGCTTTTAACTCCTGCATAAGCATGTAGACACGGTCCTCCCAAACATGTAACCTGCGGCTATGTCAAGTCCTAAGACAAACACACAGACAGGCTTTAGGATAGACGAGTGGTGAGGAGTCACATCTGTGCATTCTTCAGACATGGCGTAGTTTGTTTTGGTCCTTTAGTCCTTCAGTTTGTTTCTTCTCATTGATTTGTGTTGTACTATCTATTCTAGGATTTACTTTGTTTGCTTACTTACTCCCTCATTCATTCATTGATTCATTCACTCACTCACTCATTCATTCATTCACTGACTCCCTCTCAATCTCTCTTTCCACCTTTCCTAACTCGCTCGCTCGCTCGCTCGCTCACTCACTCACTCACTCACTCACTCACTCACTCACTCACTCACTCACTCACTCACTCACTCACTCACTCACTCACTCACTCAATCCCTCACTCTCAATCCCTCTCACTCAATCCCTCCCTCACTCACTCACTCACTCACTCACTCACTCACTCAATCCCTCACTCAATCCCTCACTCACACTCACTCACTCACTCAATCCCTCCCTTACTCACTCAATCCCTCACTCACTCAATCCCTCTCACTCAATCCCTCACTCACTCTCACTCACTCACTCACTCAATCCCTCACTCACTCACTCACTCACTCACTCACTCACTCAATCCCTCACTCACTCACTCACTCAATCCCTCACTCACTCACTCACTCAATCCCTCCCTCCCTCACTCACTCACTCACTCACACACACACACACACACACACACACACACACACACACACACACACTCACTCACTCAATCCCTCACTTACTCATTCACTCACTCCCTTACCTTTACATTATCAACCTACCTTCACCACCAACCCTACCATCTAGTACAATTGTAATATTTTGATTTTCACTTTGAAAACCTGCTGGAATTCCCACCAGTTCCCCTGGTGATAAGATAGGGGCTAAACCATGTCAAACTAGTTAACCATCGGTCCATGGGCAAGGTCATCGCCTGTTTCTGAAGGTCACCGGAAGGTTCTAATTGCTTGCAGGGGCGGCAGGCTTCCCCTGCGATGTCACCTGGGGTCAACAGGTGTCATAAAGGTGTTGAAGGGTCTGAGACAGGTGTGTCCAAAACAAGAAGGGTTTACCTCTCATAGAATATGGCAGGAAATGGCGTCGTGTTTCGGAAAGCGAGTGTTGGAATGTTTTGGAAGTCATAAACAACCGCTCAAGCCGAGAAGCTACTGAGAAGTTCTGCATGTTTGCAGTGATTCATCAGCTGTGCAGGCTCCTTCCCATGACTTTCTAACTAAGCAGTGTTTTTAAAGTGGTTTTATGGTGTAGATTTTCACGCCTTTGTTTGTTCCTGGTGCCTTCCTGTAGTTGAACATGTAACTATTCTTCGTCATTCATACACATGTGCTTACCTGCCATGCAAAGGTGTATGTGATTCTGAGGTATTCTATGTTTTTTCTCATAATTACTGTATTTTTTTTACAAGTTTATCATTTTGTAGATTTTCACACCTTTGTTTGTTCCTTACTTACACTGTATCCTGTGTACTCAACTACAGTGATACACTATGTCATACACGTACACTTCTTCATTCACTTCTTCTCATATGCCAAAGATAGATGTAGGTGAGGTTGTTCTATATTGTACCTGTTGATAATAATGGGGACAATTCTCTTCTTTTGTTGTACATGAATTATGAATTTATTCTACGCAAGTGTCAGCATTATTGTGACCTCCTCTTCATCTGAAGAAAGATTTTTTAATTACTTCTAAGCTAGTCTGTCTGTACCCGCCCACAGTTTGTGTTGGAAAGATGAAATGATTATGAATAATCTAGAAATTGAGATGGTCTTTCATTTTTATGTGCAGTAGAGACAATAACCAAGCTACAGCAACTGTTGGTAGAGCCTAGAGGTCATACCTCTGAGTAGTCAAGTTACTTACTACTAGTATTTAGATGGTGTTACTCTGTTTTAATTCAATTGTTTCTTTGTGCAGGTTGAGACGATAACAGACATGTCAGAGCTGCAGCAGCTGTTTGTTGAAGATGAGGTACCGGAGGAGTTCGGGGGAACGTATCAGTACAGCCACGAGGACTGGATCAGGTTCAGAATGGTCAGTACCTAATCCACGTACCTAATCCATGTTCCTAATCCTTACTCTCTAAGCAGAGGTTTGCGTTTTGGCTTAATTTAGGCATGTTGTTTGGCTTTTTTATCCGACTTTCTTTTTTGTACTGGAACCTTTTTTACGCCAACAGTTGGGTTGGCATAAAAAAAGATTGACTAAAAAGGAAGTCCGATAAAAAAAGCATAAAAACAAGATTAAATTAAGCCAAAACACAAACCTCTGCTTGGAGAGTACCTAATCCTACCCTCTCAGTACAGCCATGAACATTGGATCAGATTCAGAACGGTCAGTGCAAAACATTGGACTTAGTATTAATCCTAATGATCTTAATCCTACCTGAAACCTAATCCTAAACTAATCTTCTAATACTATACAAACTTGTTAGTGAAGGGATTACCCTCCAGAGCAAATTGAGCAGCAAGCATGGCTTCTATTATTGTTTTCCTCTGAATATGTATAGTTATCTGATCGCTAGAATGTGTTGATGGCTCCTGTTTTCTTCTACATTGGCCTGGAGGTAGCAGTCAGAAAACTTGGATACTTTTTTACTTCATTAGGTTTCACACACATATAGAATACAGATACAAAAGCTATTCTTCCTCGAGTTATGGTGTAATCATCCCAAAACTCCACCAAACTCGCGATTCCAAAATCCTGTCTGGAAGACTCAACCCTGTTTTCTCTGAGCTAGCATGTTTTTGGTGGCTTCTATTTTCTACCACATTGGCCTGGTGGCAGGTAGAATCAGAAAACTTATTATCAGCTAAGAACGGCTAATATCAGATTCAGAATTCAGACCAGCCACACAGCCTGTTGTGGAGCCAGAAAGATGCAGCTAAGCCAGTTGCTATCCTCCTCCAAGAGTTGAACTATTTCCATCAGTTACAGTCTGAGAATAAAACCCAGACAAAAGGTCTGCCAACAACTTTCCACTCTCCTAGACTCCCTCCTTAGGTAGCTTCCTTCCCAGGTGATTTATCGGCCCACCTGTTGGGCAGATGGAAGGCATTAGACATGGTTCTTTAAGAAGTATTCCCTCGCAGGCGATAACTTATCCTACCTGTCCAACAGACTGAAATGTAGGTCATGTGTGGAGGTCCCTCAGGTGATTTGTCACAGTACCTGTCTGGTAGGGGAATTCTGGACATAAATATTTCAGTTCTTCTTCTTTGTTTACTGCTGAACTCTTTTTCCAAGAACCCTTTACCATCCCTTTAAAAACAAAGCAATTAAAATTTAAGCAAAAGTCATTGAAGACGTAACTAAGGTATTTTCATTTCATTAAGCAAAAGAAAGGTAAAAGGGAATTATCTTACCTTATCCTGTATAAATACTGAGCTATTATGCACTATTTCATTTCATACTCCTATTTTGGAATAGCTAAAACATAAGAAAATATTTCAAAGAAGTAAAAACAAACTTTTATGACTGACCTTAGTGACCCTAAAATTTCTAGAGCTTACGCCTGACCTTCACGACCCCAGGACTTTAAGAGCAGACCTTGGTTCATAATTTTCCTCTCCAATTTTCCACCAAGTCTACTGGCATTCCATAATTTCCCCCTATGGAAGATCAACTTCCCACCTTCCCAACTTCCCATGACCTCCCGTGACCCCGGATAATCCTTCAGTGTGAGGATTTCACACCTTTGGGCCTAATCCTTGACCTGCTGTGACCCTGGATAATCCGCCCACCTGAGTACTTCACACCTGAGCGTTAATCCTGGTGACACCTGCCACACAGGTGTGAGGATAAGTCACCTGCTGGATGGACAAGCAAATGGCAGAAAGGATCAAGTTTATAATAATGAACAGCCCATTTTTTTACCACTCCACTAGAGAGGGTGGTCAATGATTTTGACCCCCACCCATATTTTTACTACCACAGGAAGTATCAAGTTTAGAATATAATGAAGGATCCTATTTGGCACTATTTCATCATCTCAGGTGGGGGTTATCAATTACTAGTACTTTTTTTTGCCCCCACCCATATTTTCCTCACCACTGAAACAATTCCCATACTGTCCCTTCAGTCTTGTTGTCTGAATTTTGAAATGAAAAAGCATCACAAATCTGAATTTGATAAAGGAGCAGACCAACTCCCCTGGCATATCATCCGTCTATTTGGCCAATTTCTACTCTTTCCAGGTGCTTACAAAGCCTGGGAGAGGCCAGAAAAAGAAAGATGATGTAGAAATTGACCTGCATTCAGTGAAAATGTCAACCTCCCTCCCAGTGTTTTATGAACCCCAATGAAAAGTATCTTGCTGACAGATTTTTTATGACAATATGGATTCCCCATCACCAAAGCTGTGATTTTCCCCACCTGCTCCTGTGGTTTTATTTCCTGTACACAAGAGTGGGGGACTGGGGGTGTTAACTGTTCGACACCTAGTGGGAGGGATGGATGGAAAAAACATGCTCCCTTGTATATCCATATTCCTCTGTATAGTTATAGAAGTGAAAGATGTGAAATATAGACTTTTCTCTTCTTTTTAATCTCAAGGGACAGGATTAGAAAAACAAGTTGATTGCATAACAATTGTAGCAGGTGCAATGTATGCCAACTTGTTATATGTTGTACACTAGGAAATTATGATCAATTGATTTTTGAAACTGGCTGATGTTTCAAGTAGCGATAGCATTCAATACTTTTCATTAGTGACAGTCACTGACAAAAAGAGTGGATGCTATAATAATTTTAAATGTCTTCACTGTTTACAAAAATCTGTCCTTTTTCTTGAATAACAATTTCCTTATGTATCTCACTACCTGGATGTCTAATGTCTAACCTTTATCGACATTGTTCTATGTTGGATAAAAGAGTATGTTCATTGTTTATAATAATATACAGAGTAGAACCCTATGAGCTCTCCATATATTTCCGACTGTGTGATGTCCTGTGGTTTAATGCCCTGTGTACAATAGTGGGAGTGTCTAACCCCGGTGGGGAGGGGGGTGGATGTAGTAGTGAAGTGTGAGGCACCACCTGAGACCCACAGTTCTCTAATCTGTACTAACCATGGGGGGTGGGACTGTAAATGCCTCATGTGTGTTTGGGCCACAGCAAGAAAATCAGTTGTTTTTTGTGATAAATGATTTCGAAAAAAATAAAAAAAAACTCAGATAATGAAATTCTCACAGCCATATTTCTTTCAAAAAGTGTAAATTAATTTATGGATCTGCCATTGCAACTTAAAAATGTGTATAAAAATGTTTCATACTTGCACCTCATGTGTTTCAACCACAGCAAGAAACTTGGTACTTGGTTGTTTTCTGTGGAAAAGAAACTTTTTCACAGCTCCATCTTTGTCAAATTGAAGTAGTGCTTGATCTGTCATTATTAAATTGCAATGTAAACGTTTCTTTTAACTTGCAGGTAATACAAGAAAATTTCAGGTGTTTTTCCCTGCCATTGATTTAGTGTGAGAAACATGAAACTCCATTGGTGTGGCCCGAATTATGCATCAGAGATAGACACCCCACCAACTCCAGTCCCCTCATTTTATTGGTGAGGACATGTGCGGTGGTCATATTGTCCTCAGAAAAGCAGTTGTTTGAATCCTTCTAGTTGGTCCACATGGCAGGACATACTGGTAGGATAAGTCACAGCACTGACAGGGTAAGGCAGGTTACTAGATTGTAGCCTCCTGTGCAGGCCCCGCGGCGGTGGGGAAGAGTTTTTAACGCGTTATTTTAACCCTTAAGCTGCCGGTCCCGGGTATATCCGGGTTCACTATACATCCCCTGTGTGCCATGCCCGGGTATATTCGGGATAGGGTATTCCCCGGGATAACTTAGCACAGCTGCATGTTTCGCGCCCGCCGACCAGGAAGTGACTGGCGGCGGTAAGTGAGGGCAGGTCAGAGGTCAAAGTGGGTTGCGTAATCACCGACTACGTCATCCCACAATGCTTTGCGGCCTATAATTGCCAAGATGGCGGCGTCGTCGTCTGCCGAGGCTTTGTTCTTTTGTTTACGTGTTTTGGGCGGTGAATTTGGACTGTTAACACCAAAATGACGCCGTTTACCCTCGAAGAACTGTTGTAGGAGGTCGCTACTGTTGATTTAGCCTATGGTTAACGTATATCAGACGCTGATTCCATTGAGAGTAGTGAAAATGAGACGGATCGTGTTAGCAGACGGGAGGAAATGTGCTCACATGGAACCAGATAGCATTGGTGAATGTGACATCGGCCATGGAACTACTAATGGCCGTGGTCGTGCTAGGGGTAGAGGTCGGGGCCGAGGTCGGGGGTGTGGAAAAGGCCAAACAACAAGGGAACGTGGCACTGACAGGCGAGGTTGCAGCCGGCCAGCTGATGGGGATTTAAATCCCGGAGCCGCCCATCAAGCTGCAACTGATACAAGATTTGATGGCACAAACTGGCAGAGGGGGGAAGGAAACAGCCTTACCAAGTCTCCCCATGATTTCACTGCACAAAGTGGATTTAGTGGCAAGTTTTATTTCTATTTTATAGCAGCTTTTATGTAAAATTTTCCATGGTATAAAGTATAATATTATCTTTTTATTGCTTTTTACCTGTTTATTGCCTTTGTAGTTTATATTGTCAAGTTGAAATATATTCCTAGACATAGTATATACAATAAGCTTTCATATGATATGTAACAAGTATATATACCATCGATTACATAGGTACAGGAAGGAATGTATTATGTTGTATACATTAGTTGGTTCAGCACCAAGGACAATATCCATCATAAACTTACCTGTAATGATACCTGAGTGCTGTATTTTTACTTGTATGTAGTTCTAATAGTGTCAGGACATGTCAGGATCTGTTAAGTCAAGGCCCAAGTCATTCTGTGGTTGCTTATTGTTGATTGTATGGAAACAAGGTGGAAATTGTACATTTTATTGCTTTTTACCTGTTTATGACCCTTATGGTCTATGTTATCAAGTTGACATACATTCCCGACTCTACTATAAGCTTCCTTATAGTATGTAACAACTCTATGTACCACTTTTATAAATGTACAGAAAGAAGTGTAATATGTTGTAATGAATCAGTGTCTTAGCTGAATAGTCAGTTCAGCACCTAGGACAATATCCATCATAAACTTACCTGTAATGATACCTGAGTGCTGTATGATTACTTCTATGTGATTCTCAAAGTGTCAGGACATGTCAGGATCTGTTAAGTCAAGGCCCAAGTCATTCTGTGGTTGCTTATTGTTGATTGTATGGAAACAAGGTGGAAATTGTGCATTTTATTGCCTCTTTACCTGTTTATGACCCTTGTAGTCTATGTTATCAAGTTGATATACATTTCTAGTTGTAGTATCTACTATATGCTTTCATATGGTATGTAACAAGTCTATGTACCATCTTTTATAAGGGTACAGAAAGAAGTGAAATATGTTGTAATGGATCAGTGTTTTAGCTGAATAGTCAGTTCAGCACCTATAACAATATCTGATCATAAACTTACCTGTAGTGACACCTGAGTGCTGTATTTTACGTGTATGTGATTCTCATAGTGTCAGGACATGTCAGGAATGTTATAGGTTTCATACTTATACTTTTTATATAGTTTAGGCATTGTAAATACAAAAAAAACTATGAAAACAGCTATTTTATTGCATTATTGCCCTTGTAATTCATTACTATTGATGTCAGGCTACATTTGAAATATTTTTCTGTAAAGTACACATTCTTAGCTTTCCAATGATATCTGGCATGATATGGTAAGTTGAGGGGAAAATGACAAAAAGACAGTAATACAAAGGTAGTACCCCCTATTTCAAAAGGGTCTGGAAACCCTGGCACAGAGGGGATGTATTGGTGAGAAACACTGGCAGCTAAAGGGTTAATATAGCCGGCCATCCTACATAGCCGACGAGAGAAGGTTGCTTTCCGCCCTCGTCGGCTATGTAGGATGGCCGGCTATATTAAAATAACGCGTTAAAAACTCTTCCCCACCGCCGCGGGGCCTGCACAGGAGGCTAACTAGATTGAAATCTTTGTATTGTAGCTTTTGAGGCAGTAGATTTTATGATGTGTGAACTTTTACTGTGTGTTACGTCGTTGAAAGATGTGGACTGTTTAGTTTCTTTCTTCATGAATTATAATTTCATTGCCCTTGAAGTTATGGTATGAAATTATCAGAAATATGCTATACTGTATCTTATGTAAGATTTTTTGACATATTGAAGTCCTTTGTCAATGAGAACTAGTTCTGTATTGAACTTGAAACCCAGCATATCACATCTATGTTACAGTTCTTCATTGAAAACAAAAGCTCTCAGTCTATGACGACATGGAATGAAATATTGCCAATGGTCTTCCTCAGGTTTCTAACATGTCATATTAGCCAACTCTAATGACTGGCCGCTGACAAACGGGGATTATGTTCATTACTGATTGTGATAACAATAACAATAGCAACAACTTTAACACATTTTCTTTGTTGATTCTCAACCTGTTAGTTAGCTAGCACCAGATGTGTATTTCACAGGTGCACAATTGATTATACAGCCATACTCATTAGTGTGCTCTATTGTTGCTGGTATCTGGTGTGTGTGACATTTGAAATATTGCAATTTTTTTTTGCATGGCCCCATACCGGGCTGAAATTCAACCCATGTGAAATATGCTAAACGGGAGGGTGTTGGAACAATGGACGTGTTGTTTCAGCGCACTTGTGCATGTCTTTCACCCCTGCTCTCTCTAAACCCTACCCTGGGAGTTCTAAACCTTTGGGGTTAAACTGTTCATATCCCTGTAAGTGTAAACCATCTGTCAGACAGCCTTTCTAACTGGTTAGTTCAAGCTTGGTCTCCACCAGACTCTTTTGTAGGCTGAATAAATAGAAATCGGCCTATACTTGACCCTCTATGGCCGGCCAACTCCCCTGGCCAGCTACAGTCATTTTAGCCGAATTTCTACTATTTATTCAGCCTGCAAAGGAGTCTGGTGGAGACTATGTGAAAAGCTCGAGCTTCTACACAAAGCATGTAGTTAAGTCTCCACCACAGTCTTTTGCATGCTGAATAAATAGTAGAAATCGGCCTAAAACTAGTAAAAGGAATGTAGCTGGCCAGGGGAGTTGGCCGGCCATAGAGGGTCCAGTTCCTCTGGCCAGCTACAATGTACATTTTTTTAGGCCGATTTCTACTATTTATTCAGCATGCAAAAGAGTCTGATGGAGACTATTGGTAGTTCAAGCTGCTGTCCTCATGTATGTATGTATGGGTAACGTATTGGCATTGCCAAAACTGTGGGTTTTGGGGGTCTTCAGGGTCTTTTGAAGCTTTTATGTGCTATTTTCTGATTGCATGTAGACAACATAGCCGGCCTGGTTGAATTGTCCCCGTTTTTTAGAACTGGGCTAATCAGAAAACACCCAAAGACCACCAAACCCCCAGTTCTAGAAGCCTGCTATGGAGGCTAGATTTCTACTATTTATTTAGCCTGCAAAAGAGTCTGGTGGAGACTATCACTAGTTAAAGCTGCCCTCCCCATGTATGCATGGGTGACGTATTGGCTTTGCCGCCCAAAACTGGAAGACAGTCCATCTGACGTCGTCATTTGGTAAATCAATACTGCACTAAAAATACGCCCGCCGGGTTACATGCTCGCACTGTACTAAATATATGTGCCCTGTATGTGTTCACTTCACCACCACTATACCATGTCCTGTTCTTCTGTTTCCCTGCATGGCACTGTGGTGGTGTAGAAGCTCGAGCCATTCCTACTGGGCAGCCGTAGCACCGGAAAGTTCCTGACTGCCGTCTGGGAGGAGCTTCTTGCTGTCGACATGGCAACAACATCATCAGGAGATGGTCCACAGGAGGAGGAGGAAGATGCAGTTGCCAGGGAGGAGTGTGATGATGAGGAAGTGAGGCTGAGGGAGGTTCTAGAGGACCCGAGAGTGAAGGCACTACAGATGGAAGGAGAGGGGGTACTGGAGAAGCTGAGGACAGAACACTCTGCCCTGGCACCCTCACAGGACTACAGGTAAGGCTGTTAGGTTCCGTATTTACTCTGTAAACAGCTATAAATAAGTACGCTCCGCCCCCCTCCCCACCCCTAACCCACTCCCTGTACAGATATGCTGATCCTGGGGTCGTGTACTGGCAAGGTTACGGGAGCCCCATTTCGGTCGTGCGCTGTCTTTATCTGTCTTGCTGTCCGCAAGGATTTGATACTATGCCAAGTCTGTAACATAAAATCAACTTGATTGCTCAACAACAGTCTGTTACTGGTACAGTGTATGGCAAAGAGGAAACAAGAAGGGTAGATACATGAGCTATACTAAAATACAATTCTAACAGTTGTACTGGCAAGGTTACAGGAGCCCCATTTCGGTCGTTTGGTGTCTTTATCTGTCTTGCTGTGGGCAAGGATTTGATACTGTGCCAGGTCTGGGGATGTGTTACATTGTTACACAAGAAAAATTGTGCCCGTTTTTACCTCCATGATTGTAGTGAACCCATTTTTTGCTTCAGATAAATGACATTTGATTAAACTGTTTTGTTTTAGCTGTAAACTGATACAAACTGTATTTTATGGCTCCTAAATTTCTGTACTACAATCTCAGGATGTTATTTGGACCGTGCAGTGCCTTTATCTGTTTTGCTGTCGGCAAGGATTTGATACTTTGCCAGGTCTGGAGATATCTTTCTATTTTGTAGCAGATTTTATTACAGAAGAAAACTGTGCAGAAATAAAGGCATATGTAATTATACGGAACCTATTTTTATATTCATATGAATGACATTGGGTTAACCTGTTTTGTTTTAGCTGTAAAGTGATACAAACTGTATTTCATGGCTCATAAATGCTCTGTATCGCAATCTAAGTATATGGACCTCTCCCATGTCCCTGTGCAATCTAAATCATGTAGTATTAGTGCAAATTATGTATATTTTTGACAAAAATTGTATTGGGAACTGCAGAAAGTGCCATAAATCTACTGAAGCATTGTTACATTAGTGCATCCAATTCACCTCATTTCTGAACTGTGAACTCATATTTCACTTCCCTTGCCAAATGTAACCGTTAGTCATTTCCGACCCAATTACTGTAATTCACTTCATGTTCACGGGTAGCAAAAGTTCAAGGTCTGAGAAAAATGGGGGTGTTCACGGAACAACTACATGTTTGCGGTGGTGGCAGATATAGAAAACTGAAAAGGAAAGTCGGCAAATTATGTGTTACCAGTAATGATCATTTCGTAGTACAGAAGTGGCTGCAAAAACCACAAACGTAAAATACCGTGAAAAAAACAGGAATCCACAGTACTAGTCCATCTCACCTCCAGTCTGTTTTCACAGATGCTTGGCGATTTTTGGGTCTAATTGTCGATTTGTTCTGGACGGGAGGGGGGCGAAATGAGCCTACATGAATTTTAAATTCAAAGGCATCCAAATTGCAATTTTGGAGCAGCAAAACAAAAATATTCTGGAGGAGGAAATCTGTCAGATATTGACATTTACTGCCATTTCTTAGCACATTTTTGTCATCATTTTATACTTTAACAGTTTAAGCATTTGAGATGCAAGCTACAAGTTAGGCATCTCTCACTCTCCGTATCTTTTGGGTACCACCCATAGCTAGGACCAGTCTACCATACAAAACAAGCATTTTTCTGTCACTGACATAGCACAGATATCAGTATTTCATGGGATAGGGTTGATTCAACTAACTATGAAAAGAAATTTGACTTTGAAAATCCAGTTTTGCTGCCCTGAAATTGCATTGGATGCTTTTAAAAGAACTTGAACACACACTCCCCATTTTGTCTATGGGGGAAAGTAATGATCTGGCTTCTTCCATTCCCTGGAAAGCACTAGGAGGTACCTGGGGCATACTAAAGGGTTATTCAATTTCCCCATTCCGAATTCGGTTGTTCGTAATAAATGGATTTTCCAATAAATTTCCATTCCTGGTAGCCATGAATAGAGATGGGAGGGAAATTTGGTGCGTAATTATTCTGTAAAACATTAGATTTGTGTCTGCGATTTTACACCATTTGTCTCAAAACAAATACTAGTATCAGCGTCTTGCTTTAGCCTCCACAGCATGCCAAAAACTGGGGTTTTGGGGGTCTTAACGGTCTTTGGGAGCTTTTATGTGCTATTTTCTGATTGCATATAGACAACATAGCCGGCCTGGTTGAATCAGAAAACAGCCGAAGACCACCAAACCCCCAGTTCTTATAAGCCTGCTATGGAGGCTAGTCTTGCCTCACAAATATATGAACCCCTTCCCTACCCAACTTCTACCAAGTCAATGGAGTCAAGGTTAAGGTATAGGAAATAGATAATTTACTGTTCTTTGAAGGCTTCCACTCTGAGGGGTGGTGGTGCATGAAACTGCATGATATTGATCCAGTGTAGAAAATACAGCAGTGCTTTTTTCATAGGCTAGTTCAGTCCTAGGGCCTAGAAAAAATTGTTGTGTTTCCTGTTTTCAGCCCTGAATAAATTAGGGTTGGGATTATTTTTTTTTTCGGTGTTTTTTTTTTCCTCTTTTTTTTTAGACTTTCGCAGTCTCTAGTAAACAAACTTAAAAAATTCAGTTTAACTTAAAGTTAAAATTTGCATGAGCACGCTGCTATTTTCAACGTTTCATCAGTCAGGTGTCAGATCATGGAGCTAGAAAAGGTCAATCTTGAAAAATTTGTGTCTCCTTCAGGGGTCCACAAAAAAGGCTAGGGTTGACAGTTTTTTCTAGGGTTGGTGGGAAACAGGAACACAACATTTTTTCCCTAGGCCTAGTAGACATTGGCAACTTTCCAAAACATGGGTTGGCTAGTTCATTTTAACTTCATAATTTACCACTTAACTGGAGCTTATAAACCATGCAATTATCAAATGTCCAGGCAATGAAAGGGTTAAAGGCATTTATTTTTGCTGCAGATGATGTTGATTCATTGTGGTAAATAATTCAAAGCTTTATTTAGAGTTGTTAAATTGTATCAGTGCTGTATTTCAAGTTTATTGCAGGCTAAGTTTAGCACATGGAATATTTTAGATCATAAAAAAATCCTTAACAACTTCCTAAGTTACATCATACAACACAAATACAAACCAATCTTTTTCCTATAATTTGTACTGTTAGACATAATTAAACAAACACTGCTTAATTGCTTCCCAAATATATTGAATGAAACAAAATTGTATTTAGTGTGTCAATAAGCCACGTTAACAAAAGAATTACATGTTAACAAAAGAATTACATAAATTTTCTACTATCATAATGTGACACTGGCACCAAGGGCTGGTTGATAGTGTTGATTTTGTATGTCAGAAAGTCATTTTAACAAAAGAATTACATAAATTTTCTCATTTTATGCAACGCAGGTACCAAGCACTGGTGGATGGTGTTAATTTTTTAAGTCAAAAAGTCATTTTTACAAGACAATCACATAAATTTTCTTTTTCATAAATTTACGCAACACTGGCACCAAGCATTGGATAATGAAAGTCTGTATGTCAAAACGTCTTCAAACAAAGGGATGGTATTATATCAATTTTCAACTCTAGATATGCAACAAAGGCATTAGCTGTGTGGTAAAACCATAAACCATAAAGCCACACACCTGTTTTTCCCCTTGCCTGTTGCTGTCCCACTGACTGTGATTGTTGAATGAAAAGCCTGAATGGGCACTAAGGGCAGTCCCCAGAAAATATAGTGATTTCTCCAAAATTAGCAGTAGCGGCCTTTTGGGGCACTCTGGCATAATGCTTCACATAAAAAAGGACATTATTCTTTTTTTTATATTAGGCAGTGAATATCAGGCGGTGGCCTCAGCTGGGTAGCGCTCTTCATATTGTTTGGAAAGGGATCATCTGTTGTGTATCTGTCAGTGTCAATTTCTGGGGTAGAAAGGGGGGAAAGGAACAGAGTTATTGGCCAAGTATTGAGGTGTTCAAAAATGCTAGTATGTTTTCTTCAGGAAATATTATAATTTATATAGTGGTCAAAGACAGATGCTATAGGTAGCATATACAGGTTTGATGCACCATGAAGATTTTATTAACACTAAATTCAAAAGTGTATTCAAATGTGTAGTTAGAGAGGGGTTGGATTGTACAAATATTATTGTCAGTAGTATTGAGATGTATTTATTACTATTATTAGTATTAACAATTTTCATGCAAATACCAAGTAAGTTAAGTTTTTTTAGGTCTTGCCAATTAGCCACCAAAAGATCTGCTTAGAGATCACTTTTTGTATTGTTGTATTGTATCAATGGACCACTGGAAGAATAGCTAAGCTAAATGCTAAAGCTAAACGTGGATCCAAATAAAGTCAAGTCAAGTCATTAGAAGACCCCTCCAAAGTTTCACCTGGACCAGTGCAGCAGGTTACTGGTTATGTGATGTTGTTATAAGGCTGTATATGAGGGGTTTATAGTCCTGGTGTCAATGGACCACCGGGGAACACTGCGAATTCCGAGCATCATTTGATGGTCGTAAAGTTTGGGCAACGAGGATTCCGCAAATCAGTGGGATTTTTATTTAATGCCATTTGAAGTTGAGCCCAAAATGTGATGAAATTGAAGGAAAAAGTATTTAGTTTTTAATTTTCTCTAGGATTATCCTTGTTACTTACTGAAGCCATAGAATGCCTTGAATATAATTTTTACAGAATAGCCCATTCACAAATCAATATTTTATTTATTGATTGATCAATTGATTGATTGATCTTATTTGACCTTTTTGTTTCTTTGGGTTATCTCAAATTCTGGTTTTATTCCCACCTAAAGTCGGACCCCATCCTGTTCTATTATTTAATCATATTAACCATCCAATGTGTACTAAAAAGAATATGCAAACCAAGTTTTCACACTCCCAAATATGCAAATGAGGAGCTACAATGACCATTATGCAAATGACCATTATGCAAATGAGGGCGTGACAGACAAGTGTGTGATCCTGTTGAGCAGATGGCCAGGCTCATCCTCCAACTTACCCATGATCCATGGGTGGACTAGTAAACAAGGGAGG